TACAATTGTTTTTATTATCTAGACAAAAGGGAAAAATATATGCAAAACATTTTTCAGAGGTACTTTACAAGTATTTTGGCAATTTCTTGAGAAGTACTAAATATTTGTACAGATATATATATACAACACATATTAGAGAGGAAATTACAAATGTGTACAAATTCACTTCTGTATATACACAGTTACCTTGGTTTTCCAAACCAAGTTAATTCCTGATTCTGGTTTTAAAACAAACATTTACTTTACCAACCTAATCTTAATGAATAATAGAACCTATCAATAATAGGCCTGTGGGTGACTTACATGTTTACTGCATTTTCTTACATTTCCCTTAATGTAATTATGGAAAAATAGATAAATTATATAAAAAAGATTTACAGTATATACAGAAAACCTTTAAAATAAAAGAAAATATTTTCACTCAATGGTCTACATTTAGTAAACTAAAAATGTATGGAATACCGAAGTCCCTTTTTTCTATTGTATCATCTTCCCTAGGTTTCTTCTCTTAAATAATGGCATTAATGAAATGCATTTACATTTTTTTTATATCTTAATGTTTTTATTTTTGTACATGTATTTATTGGTTATTGTTTTAAGGGAAGAAAAAGTAATATTTACAGAATATATGACAAAGTGTGAAATCAAAATAATGATTATGAAAGTGAAATATTAGGAACTATATTTACTTCACACAACAGAAAAACAGTCGTCTTTCTGTTTTCTGCATTAAGTATCACTAAAATATTTGCATACATAGTTTATGGTTTTTCAATAAATATTTGCTGACTAAGAAATTCAAATTCCTTTGCAATGGCACTTTTGTATTCCTCCTGTTATACTTGCAATTGGAATACAATGCATCATTTATTTGTTGAGATAGGATCCTTATCAAGATTCTACTTTCATCTTGCAAATAAAATGAAAATATACCATTATTCCAAGTACAATGAAAGATTTTTCCCTACAAGATGTGCTTCAAGATAAAACCATGTTTTACAGAATGGGAAGTTTCTAAAGTAAAAATTATTTTATCGTCAATCTGTACAAGTTTCATGTAATCTGTAGATTGTGGTTACAGATTTTCATACTTATTTTGGCTGCATGTAATGATGTAAAGTATTTGGTATGGTGTAATATGGCACACCAGGATTCTCCATTCTGTTATCATGTCTCAGGTTTTGTGTTAATTCTGGCCCAAGACCTGGATGGTGTAATTCACTGCCATTTCCACGAAGGTCTCCTACTCCAGGAAGGTTTCGTACATCTGCAGGCACTACTGGCATGGCATCATTCTTTAAGTCAATTCTGTTTTCATTTCTTCCATCGGATGGCATACCTGTCCTGAAAGTTGCGTTCACTGTGCGTAATTCCACAAGAGATGTTCGTGGTCTATTGTTATCCTGATGCACTTCATGCCTATACTCTGGCCTGATTAATTCCTGGCGAACAAGATCAGTCCGTTGCATTTGGGGTTGCTGGTGGAGGTCATGTCGTGCCATTTCCTGTCTTGCAGCCATGTCCTGGGAGTGCATGTCATGCTTATGGATTTCGATTAGCTGGTTATGCAGATCATTTCTTAGGTCTTGAGTGGGAGTTGAAATAGAACTTTGAGAGTTCTGAGCAGCTGAAGTTTGAGTATTCTTTTTCATCTCTTTCTGAAGCTTTTGCTGATGTAGCTCATCCTGCACCTTTTGGATGTAGTCCAGCTTTTGATCATGCGCTCGCTGATGTGCTTCCATACTGTGAACTGAACTGGAGTCGTGTAATGGATCTGTCATTGGTTCATTCTGCAGGTCAGGACGAGATTCAAGCATCATGTCAACATGAATGGCTGATTCCAACACAGAGAACTCATCGAAAAGATGGCCTCCTCTCCTTTGTAAGTACTGCCTTATGACCTGACAAGCAATAACTGCTTCTGAAACTTTTGGTAAAGCTGGAATGTTTTCAACTGGCATTTCAACATGCTGATTTGGCTGTTGAGCTTTAGCATTTGAAGCATTGAACATATTTGAATAATGGGGATACTGCACAGTATTGGTGATCATTCCTGACTGAGAGTTACCTTTCCCATCCTGACCCTCCTCTGAATCACCAGTGTCCAGATCTGCATCAGAATTAGTAAATATTTCAAACTCCTGCTGACTGACGCCTGGGGGTGGACCCACCTGATCATTGACATTGAGTGCATCTACGTCCTTACTAAGTCCTGCTTTAACTACTCCCTTTACGATGGTTTCTGGACTCACATGTCTCCAAGCTTTGTGTATCATGAAAACAGCATCTAAGGCAGAAGTTCCATGGGAAAGAGTGGGTGGGTTTATCACACTATGGTTAAACATGCTGGCATGAGCCAGGTGTTCATTTGCTTGAATTTTGGACATTATATGTTTGAGTTGTTGATGTCTGTACAATGCCTTAAAAATGTTTATAATACCTAAGCGAAATGGCTGTAAAACCGAAGCTGTTCCTGGAGGAAAGAAAGTTACATTAATGTTGAAAAGAGGAAGATTTTCTGGGTGATGAGCAGTCTTGTTGAGAAGTATCACTATTTTTTTCTTTTTTGACCGCAACTCTCTATCCCACTCCCGCAACCAAGCTGAAAAAAACTCTAGTGTTATAGCTCCTTTAGGATGGTAATGGAAAGGGCACGGTAATGTTGCTGAACCCGTTAACTGAACTCGACCCACAACTGCTGCAGGCCTGCGTTCAGTGCCTGCCAAGTTACTTGCCAGTATAACTGACATCCTGTCAGTTTCACCAATATTTCCTTGAGTCATAAAATCAGGTACAGAATTATACAGAATGACCGTTTCATCAATGACCCACACATTCTGCAGAGGAACTTCTTTAGTGGCCTTGGCAAACAAGTATCTCCTCCAGTGGTTGCCAACCTTGGTAATGGAGGGTGCCCCATCTTTATCCTTGAACCTTTTCAGGGTCACACCATTCCTATCTTTCCACCTTCCTAGCCACCCAGCCGATGGTTTGAAATCAATGCCCATTTCATTACCGATTGACTTTGCTTTCTCCATTAGAATGGGACCTGAAATGGGGAGATCTTCCTTTTTCGCTTGCTTGTACCAGTCCACAAGCTTCTGCTCAAGGGCACCTGCCTTCCCTAAGCGACATCTCTTGCGGTCAGGGGTTGCAAACCGGTTCCACTGCCCCATGATGGCATCCTTGTTCTTCATGATCCGTGACACCTGGCTCTGACTGACACGAAACATGTTTGCAATTTTTCCCTGAGGAACTTTTGGCTCCATATCTAGCATCTCCAATACCTAAAACAGAAGAAAAAAAAAAATAATTTCTTTCGAAAATTATTGCACTTTCTGACTTCTTATTACCCAGATATATTGACACAAGAAATAAACTGCCCAAGCACACTAACCTTTACTTTAGCACCAAGTGTGAGGTCCTGCCGTCTTTTTCTCATGAAGGCTGTCAGAGAGGTTTCTACCTGCACCTCTCCAGCTGGTATACTCCTTTTGCTCCGGACTTTTTTCTTGCTCTGAGAGTAAATACAAAAAGTGCAAGTGTAGTAGATCTCTTTAAATAATTAGTTTCCAATTATTTAATTTTACACTTCTGCCAACAATTGAAGTCAACTCTTATTGGTATACATTTCAGAAGAAGAAGAATATTTTGAGTTACTACCACCATTAACTTAAATTAATCTGTAATTTTTTTAAACTGTTTTACAAAATTGTTTATTGATAATCACCTTTGTTCTTCCCTTTCTTGTCCTCTTCTTTGGCAGTTCTTCCCTCGTTTCTTCCTCATCATACTCAATCTTAATTTCATCATCGCTTTGCTCTGGACTCTTTTTAGTATGACAGTGTCTAGCTGTTCCATCGCCACTGGCTTGATCTTCCTCTATTTCCTCTACCTCTTCCATATCTCTGGATGGGCTTGAAGTTTCAAGCATAGTTTTGTCTATACTATCAGACTGCTGATCCAAGACAGTTTGGTGGGTATTCTGGCCATGTGATAACATTGCTATGTGTTGTTGACTTGTAGTTGGGGTGGCCTCCTGTGGGTTCTGTGTCACTGGGAGTTGGTTATTGTCGTGGTGCTGGCTTGGAAGAGGTAGAGTGAGTTGGGAGTTCTGACTATGAACAACTGGTGCTGCGTGGAGTTGTCTCGGACAGCTGTGATGTGCATTCTGGTGGTGCAATGTGGTCGTTTCAAGATGCTGACTCTGGGTATTATGATGTGGGCTTTGGCTATGCACAGTGGTGGTATCATGATGGGTACTTGCAATGGTGGACTGGTGGGGGCTGTGACTGTGTGTTACCGTTAGATCATGATGCTGGCTGGCAACTGTGTTGTGATGAGGACTCTGCTCATGAGATACATTGTGATGCTGAGCTGAGACTGTCGTGTGGAGCGGACTTTGGCCTAGAGTTACTACTGCATTATGGTACTGGCCTTGGTGCTGTGGGGTCATAAGTGCATCTGGTAACATCTCTATTGATGCTGTGCTGTACGGTTGTTGATTCATGGTTCACCTGGTGATAGCATTCATCATCTGCAAATATAAATATAAAGTATAACAATTTCCATTATTAGCAAATAACTGACAAGTGAGATTTTTTCTTTTTTCTTTGAAAACCAGTATCATTAAAGTAAATAACGTAAGACAGGAAAACCAGATTTTTATAATGGATAGTTTGCCTCTTCCCAGAGAGGGAGAGAGAGAGAGAGAGAGAGAGAGAGAGAGAGAGAGAGAGAGAGAGAGAGAGAGAGAGAGAGAGAGAGAGAGAAGAGAGAGAGAGAGAGAGAGAGAGAGAGAGAGAAATCATAATAAATAAATAAAATTCCTCCCAATGGTAAGTCATTCTGACTCTTCCAAGTCATGACAAAGAAAGAAAGAAAGAAAAAAAAAAGTTGGAATACTAAAAAGTATACTATAGCACTGATAATGAAGAGAAATGTTAAAGCATTCACTCTCATGTTTGCATACATCCTAGTGTGGGTGTGTGGGTGTGCAT